ATTTGACACCTCTAATAAACATCGTACATTGATTACATCATATCTATGTTATACACATACATACACTTTATAGCAACGATACGTATGCATTTATATCTATATGGATGCCACCACATCCAATACAAGAATCCGAATGGGTGTATGTTTCAACGCCTGTAAAATATGTCATGTTTTATAGATGTCTTTTATCCTTGCTATTCTTAGACTCAATATCGACATTTGGATGATTTTCAATATTCTGAAATACCTGGGCATCTCTTTTGTCAAACATTAAAAGAAAATATTTATCGAACCCCTCTTATGTACAACATCTATCACACTGAACATAAAATGACAAAAGAAAAACAATCTTATCTCTGTTACCCAACATATAATTCTATTTTTTTTATAGAAAAGACAAACGCAATTTATAGTGTTTTTTGACATCTCTGTCACTAAACTCCCATTTAACTTCGCTAATTACAAACACAGTGTATGGCTCCAGTAGTATTGGTCTTGCTTGTTATGAATGCGAAAATGTAAAATCCAGATTTGTATGATTTACCTGAGCCACGTGACTCACATAAAGATGTTTACACAGATGAGTTATACAAATATGCAATTCCACGGGAGGGGGTCAAAAGGGGATCTATGAACACTCCTGAGTAATAATCAGTCGTTGATGCCATGCAGCATCGTTGCTGTCTGTATCACTGTCCGAGGAATGTTAGCGTTACGTAGGCACTGTCGGGTATATTCATGCATATAAACACATATTGCACTGGGGAATTTGCAGTCGGGAGGAAATAGCCAGTATGAAGTCGAAAACTGCAGACACGATGTCTAAAACTGACCATTCTGATTCAAAGGCGTAAGTAAAATTATACTTTATAGGATTGTTAAGGCCCATGCATATCTTATGAACTTGAATATTGTTAGCAATCGCTGTAAAACATAAAATGATGACATTTTATTATTTGAATCAATCAAAATATAGATTCTTGTTCAGTATATGTTCATGTCAAATATATCATAGTGTTGTTATGACAGTAAACATTCCATTCATGATAAGGTGAATATTCCGTACAGATTTTTTTAATAAGGTTCGGTAAAACGGTCAACCCTGAAAATAACGTCACGTAAACTGTATTTAGTGAAAAGCTCTTGTCTTAACTGATGTTGGCATGTTTATTTCTTTGTATTTTAATCTATTGTTGTATCGCTGTAAATGTAGGTATGTTAAATATAATATGTTGAAAAAAGTGAGTTGGCCAGGTGGTACGTACATTGATCGCGCTCTCGTCTTCTCGACCACTAGAGGACTCCGGGGACTCCAATTTCCTCCGATTTCCTTCGATTTCCTCCCCTTACGAATTCCCATCTGGACCAACAAGAGTGATTTATAAGTTTATAAACTTTGTTAATAAATGTTATAATATATATACACATATATACTTTTATTTCAATGTTGCATTGTGTGCTCAAATATTCTGTAACCAATCAAACTGAAATAAAGCGATATTTGATTAAATTATAATTATCACCGTGATTTGTTAAGTATTGTAACTTGTTCTTCGGTTAAAAGTTAAAAGTTAAAATCACTTCTGAGAATAATTGAGTAGCCTGTGTCAGACAAATGGTGTCCCTATCATTATTACAGGGCTATTTCAATTAAGTGTGGAATGGTGATCGTAGGATATCTTAATAAGTGTTGGTAGGAGGAGCCGTATTGCTCACCTATTGTTCGTAAATAATCTGTCTGGTCGTTGGTCAAAGGTCATGAGATCACTTGCACGTGCATGTCTAACCCAAAGGTCTGTTTTGTCTAACATTGGTGGCAGGAATTATTTCTGAAGGTGAACATAAAAACAAACTTGCTGATGATAAACACTTTTCGAGTTTTGTTCTGATGTCAGTTGCTATGACGTCGGTGATAAGTAACTTCCGGTTTCTTCATCTGGAACACTTTTACCGTGAGGATGGCTTATCTGAAAATCAAAATTGAAATAGGAGATTATTATTTGTTTTAGGTAGTCTTAAATATCTGATATTGAATATCTTTTGTTTTATACTTATATACCGACATAATACTAGAACAGGAATATTGTTAATGAAAACTATTTGCTGCTTTTCAAATAAGTGGCTGCTATAATTTATTTAACAAGATTGGAACTTGTGATGGTTTCTGAAGAATCAACATGAAAATATGACCATTCAGTGATAATCGCTATGGTACCACATCGACTTATCTAAACTCTCATTTACAAGTTATCCGTTCCGAACAAAGCATTCGAACCATACCGATGTTTGCAGGTAGTGCCTAGTACCAGTCAGCCAAAATCCTATCTTGAACAGAAATGCTCAGAGTTAAAAGGAACGGTCAATGTAATTGGATAATTTGACCAACCTACCTGTAGTATTTGATCCTATAATCATTAGACCTTTTAGCGATCACTAACGCTGTGTGTGGGTGTAACTCAACCCAAAAGAATGTAAACCGGTCAGTATGTTGTGTTTGTTCTATTGAATTAGGTAAATATATCTGTACCGTACTGCAACCTTATCTACTGAATGCCTCTTACAAAACTTTCGTTCAATCGTCATGAATTGCATTCTTTTAAGATTAAAGAGAAAGTTCCGCAACAGGAATTGGGTTTAGGATTTATTATTTACAGTAGTTTAGGCCCCTAACTGCACTCGTTTATCTTGTGGTATTTAGGCATCTCTACCGTATTCCCAGGTACTTTATACCATGTAAAAAGCGAGAGAATTCGGAGAAATGTCTTCACTGTAATTTACAGGAAGACTTCATTGTAAGTTCTCGTGTATCTAGACGCATAAGGTGTTTTTGTCAAATTTTCAAAATCGTTTCATATTGGAGAAGAAATTTGAAAGGAAAGAAAAATAAGAATTTATGAAAATATGATGATAAGCATTACCACAACATCATAATTGGTTATAATTCACACTTACATTGTAATATGTATACACTTTCTTTTTACTATACATGTGATATTAATACCTTGCCTTTGCATGCTATATTTATACATCGTATATGTGCAAGCATTTTCATTGAATTAGGATGATTTCTCACGAATTTTTAGACTTGCAAGTTTATTTTCAGGAGGGGTCAACAATACGAACAATTATCATATTACCTTATTAGGCTTATTAGGTGTATCGACCATTCTTGTTGATGCATATTTCATGTCTACGTAACATATAGCCAGTGGTTATTAAAAGAGTACCAAGCAATTTCTTCTTTAGATGCGGGATGGGTCAATGATTCAAACAAATGTACCCTATCAACAAGGAAGAGGAAGGACGTTGTGTCATGTATTTAGGTCAGTACTAACAAGATTGGAAAATAATATCAAATCTGTTAGTGACCAGCAAACAATCAGTCACCATCACTAGTAACACTTTCAGGTCAATTGGGAGTCCCGGTTGACCTTTTTTTCGTTCCTTTGACATCAAATTCAGCATGCATTTAACATTTCGTTTTCTATCCTGCTTTCCTAGCAGACACCTGATGATATATCATATCTGTTGTATGTGGATGACGTCACGAACTGATTGTCATCTAAATAAGATAAGTGTCTCTAAACTGCCTCTTCGCGATGTCCTGGACCTTTGGTGACACTATTTGATTCTCCGGATTGGACAAGAAAACTTCCATGTTTGGCACTGGAAACAATCGTTTTTGGATCTCCTGGGTTTTTTCTTTCTTATTTCTTTCGTGTCAGCTGGTCTAGGGTTTCTTTTCCTTCATGTCGATGTAACTGGTTGATGTTTTCTTGTGCCCACTGATTTATTGATTTTGTCTTCGTGTGTTGACGCTATGGTTAAACCCAAATATTTTGTTCGTGGTCGGATAGATTTATCATGATTGCTATTTATAAATGATTTTCAAAAAACCTATTTAAGAACAGAAGCAACCACAGATGAATTCATTGTTTAGGTTAAATATTAACCCCAACAGTTAATTTTCAAATAATTGCAATCAATTTTTGATTTGGTGTATCAGTATTTTTTACCAAAACAGCGATTCGGTTCAGTTTGCTTCTTCATTTTCTACACTTTTAAACACATATTTAAAGATTGAAAAAAAAACCAAGAATTAATTAAAATGCCTGTTTATCTAACTTGACACGGTAAATACAAATATACAACACTATAAGATGCCAAATTTCGAAAAGTAGCATCGCTGCAAACTATTTACTGTCTGAACGACCCAACATCACCATGAAGTCATACACTTCCATACGGAAAGATTAGGTGTGAGAGTTATTAACGTAAAGAAATGTATCGTGAGAGTTATTAACGTAAAGAAATGTATCGTGAGAGTTATTAACGTAAAGAAATGTATCGTGAGAGTTATTAACGTAAAGAAATGTATCGTGAGAGTTATTAACGTAAAGAAATGTATCGTGAGAGTTATTAACGTAAAGAAATGTATCGTGAGAGTTATTAACGTAAAGAAATGTATCGTGAGAGTTATTAACGTAAAGAAATGTATCGTGGTGGTCTTTTTGCCCCCTTAAAAGAGGACACGGTAAAATATTGATTGACAGGGGTCGGGGCATTAGCTTGCATTACGCAGATGGTACTTCACATATATTATTTCTCTTAACCTAACATAGAAATGACATTCTTCAGGGTTACTGCTTGTGACAATTCTAAAACATATTAAAAAAAATAAGAACAACAAATTTACGAAGCATACGTTAATGATCTAATACTCCCGATCTTGACATGATTGAAATCACAGCAAAAGCAGACATTTCAATAGAGGAAACTCATATAAATCGTCTTCTGTATTTTGATGCAATTCTCCTTAAGAGTGATGGCAAAATTGTGTCCCGTTAATTCTGTACACGAACGTGAATCTATATCGGGGCGGATCACATCTGTTGAGGATGTGGCGTTGTGTACTGCCTTTTGCATATGTTTGCTACCAACGCTCGGGGACTAGATAGTCCCCTGCTGGGCCCCTCCATACCAGTACCGAGTAGATATGACCCCATCCGTGGGTATACTTATTTCAACACTCATAGAGGTGGTGGCTATACCATCTCTGCCAGTCTTATCCTAACATTCGTCCCAATAGCTAGTTATTTTCTCTCTCTCACGTCTGCCGTACGACAGACATTTTGTTTTGCGCGCGTGCAGTGCTCGTGAAGTGGTATATATATATATAACAGACAAAATGGCTGCGGTATAGCGTGAATCATCTCTCTACCATATACATGACTAAGTAACTAGTGTTGTTGGTGTGTTTGAGCTAACAGAGATAACCAGAAGGAGTGTTTTATCTTCGCTGCTCAGGGGCTACAACTTTCGTAATACACTACTCGGAGCCAACTTACAAAGTAACCTATCCGTCAGTGCACGGCAGTAGACATGGCCGTCTCAATGGAATAAAAAGGAACAGGTTTTTAAAAAAATATCCTGTTCCAATTTCCTGGGATTGTTTAACTCTTGCAATGGACGACGCGGATATAATACAAAAAATAGGAAAGAAAAGGTAGGTTTATATCTCAATGACGAAGGACTCCCTATGAGTATTTTATCGTCGACTCTTCAGAAAATTGTTATATAATAATCTATTAGCAATACCTTCTGCTTTTCGGAGGTAATACTTAACGTTAACCAGACATAAACATTTGGCAACAATCCTGTGTTATAAAAAAAAAAACGGAAAGAAAAGAAGTTATCCCGTGGAGCACCTTGGAATGCTTTTGGTTTACCGATTCCTTGCAGGTTGCTGTTCTGGGATATACATTAACTGTTCTGGTTCATTCTAAAGCTAATGTGGAGGTTCTTGAAGATGAACGTGTAGCTAAAGCTTTCACTTAATTTAATCCTGAATCTTAACATTTTGGTATCATTATTCCTAAATACCAACACAATCTGAATGAATAATTAGTTTAATAAAGGCATGTTTAAACTTGTATGTATAATAATCATCCAAGGATTTTAATCATATATGCTCCTCCCAACTACACAGTAACAATTTTATGACATCAGCTACATCTGTTTGGCATGGGTTTTAACGTTTAAGTTCTTGATAAATAAATATTCAACTGGCCGACCGGATGTGGGTTTTACCGCCTGATGTTTGTTCTGGTCAACTTTTTCTTCCAACAACTCTGTTTGTAATAATAGCAGGTCCTGTCACTGGCCTTATACAAAAATAGAGAAGGTTGATATTTTACCTACTTTCACACTTTCCCATTTTGTGTTCTTTGAGCATCCTCAAACAAGTTTTTTTTAACAGCAATTAATATTTTTGTAGTCTTTGAATTTGTATTCTCCACTTGAATACACTAAAAGTGTTTGAAGCAGTGACGGATTAGCCATTGTTCCCAATCGACAGTACTAGTGAATAGTCAGAATTCGGCCTTTAGACATATGTCTATTTATCAGAACAACTCATCTATGTAGAACACTCTAGCAACACCACCAAATCTATGATTATGTGGGTAATCTCCCCTTTCAGTCAGATCATTTCTGAATGTTTTCGACTCTACTCGTATGTGGGGTCTTTTGTGTACAGTATATCCTACTGGTGTGGTTATACGTTCAACAGAAGAACCCTTTAGCCAAGCAGTCTACTTCAAAGAACTTAGAGAAATGTTCTGTATAGATTTGAGTCAGGGATAATACGGCAAGTATCTTTTGTAAAAACTACAAGATGACCACAAGGATATCTCTCTGTCCGGTCACCTACTGACCCTTGAGTGTGGTTTTGTACCTGGTGACTGGTCTGAATTTCTAGAACGTTTACTCAACTACTACGTTTTGGGGTGTTCTCGTTCTGTATCTTAGTACAGTTTTAGATAGTTATATCTTGATAATTTAACAGTTTTAACCATCTTCTTTTTCAGTTTTCGTATATATCGTACATATCTTCTTCAAGGCTTCTCCATCTTTATGTTCCTTAAAATTGTCATTACTTAATTTTCCCGTTTTTACCAATCTGGATAATTTCCGTGCACTTTAAAGGAATCTTGCCTTGAACTCTTTCGTTTAAAAATAGACAATGATGTTGAAAGCGGTGTTCTGTACTGTGTTTCTACGAAGCCTGCCACCCATTATCTGACACAATACACGCAAACAAATTTCCGGTTCTCTGCTCATTTTAAAAGAGTAACCCTCAATATAGTCTACAACACATGTAAATTGTAGTCTGGAAATATTCAAAAAACTTACAAAACACTAGCACAATTTTGAAACACCTGTCAGGGATACACTGCAGAGGAACTTTTGCCAAACAAAAGCCAGCGCGACGCCAACATACCGCAGTATGTTGTATATCTCACACCTGTGCTGATTGTTTCGTATTTGTGACGATAAATAAAAAAAAAAAGCGGAAATTAAACAAATAGGAAAGTTTTGGCTCCAGTGGTATCCACAGAAATGGCAAGACCCACCACGTGATAAGAAAAAATATATCTATAATACCGAAGGTTATTGCTTTCTATGACGTCATATTCGGTATTCTGGCAGATGGCAGGCGTGTATATCTCCTTTACCTCTCTGGGCGAGCAGGGGGGTAGAGAAGGAGGTTGTGTGATACAGTGCAAACACACTAGCCCAAAAATAGCCGAGACATGGTTCGATAACTGCCTTACACAAATACATATTGGCTCCTCTGATCAGACCACTTCATTTTCTCTCTGTCTCTCTTTAGTGCCGGCTGGTGACTTTTCGGTGGTTATTCTCCACTTGCTTCGGTTACTAAAGGTCAAATGAAACCATTCAGAATGTCTAACCTTAGAAACAGGTGAGAGTATAGAGAAGTAGTTAGTCTGCTTATAGTACTTGGTCTGTGATTTGTCAATTTGGCTTTCTGCTTGAGGCTAGTGACTATAGAACGTATAGTCAGTGTTGCTTAATTAGTAAAATACCCTCTGTAGGGAACATCTTAAGTGTTTCTATTGCTTGCTTTGTTATCATTTCAATCTCTAAAAGTTCCGGATAGAAGAAATGGCCTGTTGTATCCAACAGCATGATGATAAGGGGCGATTTGTCATCCGTCAGCTTTCTTCAGGGATACCGAAGAGACAAAATCGTATCTGCTTTCCTCGTTATATTCGGTGACTTGTTATTTTCTTCCTTTTTACATTTTTCTTAATTTTCATTGTTTCATTTGGCACACGAAGTATTAATCTTTTATTGTTTGGCCATTAAAGAGGTATTTCAAAGGTAAAGGTAAGCTAGAAATTCGAAGAATTAGTTTCACCCGTGCAATCAATGCTCTTATATGTAATATTGATTGAATGGAACACTTGTATGACAGCTTATCGTCGAAATGAGCTTTTTATAGTGAACAGTCGCTGTCAATGCTGTATTGAAAGCAAATCGTTTGCGACTTTTCAAATTCACCATTATCTTTTTTGTCACTGATGAAATGTATGTTGTTAATATTGACTGTACTTTTCTGAAAGTTTACCGTTTTTTAGTAGAAAAAATAGGTAATGTATGATTCAGTGAACGATCGCCATATTTCTAACGCATAAATGAAGACCATTGCATAAGCCCTAGAACGAAAAATGATTCGTAAACTTATATCATTTTAAACTACTTCCGCTTCTTTTGTTTTGAATTTTGGTCGTGTTACGAAAGGTACGTCCTCAATGTTATTATGGTAGATATACGTCTGTTTCTTTGTTGGAATGATATGAGTGTTCGGTCGCCACCTAGTGTCTGGTAAATTATGATTTTTTATCTAATAATACACGTTCGTTAGATTCTCTTTTAAACGCCTCATCTTTGTACAAAACTACTTTTTAAGTGGTAACAGTACCGGCGTAATAGACTCTGTCAGATAAGCTTCGTTAAACGTAAGTGCACAAGACTTAGTCAACCGAAACCTACAGGCACCCACCCTCATTGCATACTGTGGATAAAGCCAGTCTTAGAAGAAATCCCATATTGAAAGGCTTAATATTTCCAAAATAGTAGCGTATAACTTAAATACAAGAATATGGAATATGTTGTGGGTTTTAATTGCTAATTCAAAAAGTCAATTATTGGCAACCCTGTGTGACAAATATAAGGTATTGACAACAGGTTTACCAATTGATAATTAGGTTTTAGTAGTCCAGTGATTATGAATTTAATCGTCACTATCTACAATTAATTGATATTTGGCATTCTGCCGTTATCTGCGGCTACACTATCTTGACATTAGAATGTCTACGTTGGTAATGAGTTATATTCCTAATCACATATTTTGGCACAGAATGTAACCAAAAGGTCTGTGTCTAGCCTTCAATGGGAATGTTCTCTATAAATGAAAAACCATTTAGGTGTCAAACCACCATTTCCCAGTGTCATAATGAAATCTTGCCAGTAAACTCCTGGTTCAATGGCCGTTTCAAAGTGTACGCTTGATTGAAACATGGCTTTGTGAATGTCTGGACGTGTTCTATAGGATTATCGCACTGATTACTATGATACATATATTGATACCACATGTCTGGGCACGTGATGTAGGGGAGGGGGGGTCATAATTATGTACAACGTTGGTATTTCGTACATATCTTCTGTTGTCTGAAATAACATCTCGTCTCCATAATAAAGCATCGCTGTTGTGGCTGTTAGCACTTGGGATGTCTATGATGTATGTTCGAGGAGGACGTTCTGCATACGAATTGTGTAATAATGTATAAGCTGAACAGAGTTGATGATATGTCGCATAACAAAATGTGATCATTGGATAAGTAATACTTTTCTTTAACTATAATGTTGATACTCATTGTCTCCAACCAGACTTGAGTTAGGATGACACGGTAATCTTTAATGTTGCCGTGACATTTACTCCTTGTCATGTTGCCACAATTTGCCCTTTGCATTTGTTGGCATTATAAAGGGGTGTGTTAAAATAATGAGAGAGATATTCAGCGCGTGATGAATTGTGAAGATAAAAAGGTAAAAGTGGACCGAAAAATATGATGGTTGTTAGCTATATGTAGCTAATAAAACGAGTGGCATTTTATCAAGGTTTTACTCTACATTCACTCACACACACTCATAAGGTATATTAAATATATACAATGTATATAAATGTGTTAGTATATATACTGTACATCCACAAAAATACAAATTACCGTAATTAATCATCAACATACATTTGCTTAATGTTATGTCTTATTTGAAGTGTATACTATTGCATTCGTTGCATGCTCAATGACGTCATCATATTAATCTTATAACCACGGTTCCTTGAACTGCTGACATGATGTTTTGTATATAGTTTCGGATACCCCTACTCTCTCGGATTAAGTGCCAGCTTGTTCCAGAAATAGATACATGTCTGTATTTTTTCACAGATACTAATAAACTTGTCATTATTCTTACACTATTTCATGTTAGAAGATTGGGTTTGACATGTTCTGATATAAACTTTGGTATTAGTGGTTTGTTAGCTTAATGTGATTTTGTATTTTAAATATAGTTGGGATTTTATCAGACAAAATTGTTAGTGACTTAATTACATTTATATATTATCAATACATA